TTAATGCTAAACTTGGCCCCAACACCCATCCAACATTTTTTAACCCCCAAGATAGCCAAACCCCCTCTAGGTTTAAAATGAAGGCGAAGGCCCAAGAAAGAGAGGAAAACGGGGTATGTTTGAACTTGGTTTAGGAAAGGGGGGGGGGGGGGGGAATGCATTTTAAAAACTCTTATCGCCAAGTTGTCGTGTTAGTTGCAAAAAGAAGAAGGCTTAAAAGTATTTGCCTTCTAGACGCGAAGCCGGCTAAAATACAAACGAACAGAAAACAAGGTTTCAAAAAGCTTTTCAGCAACTCTTCAGTCACACTACTTTCTCTATTTAATGAAAAGTGCTTTCGTTTCTAGCCATTTTGCATGTTTGATTGTCAGTCAAGAATTTTGCAGTTTTTGCTATTTTTGCTAATGTTTCTTGTGGTTTCTTTCTTGGAGTGTGGGTCAAAATGCCGCGCAGTGAATATAGGTGAAATCAGAATTGCTTCATTGTTACATGGCTTGTGATTTACGTCTGATTGAACATTCTTCATCCTCACCGAAAAAAATTACATAACGGAGTTGTCGTTCTACTACAGACCCTTAACTCACCTGAGGCTGACAATCAATTTAATTTCAACTTTCTGCACTCAATAAATTATTTCAATTTTTTGCACTGAAAAAATTTCAACTTTCTGCACTGTCTGGGATAACTTGACTTGCTCTCAGCTGATGAGCGTGATGAAATTTTTGCATGTATATTATTAAAAAAAAAAACAGTTCGTTTTTGACAAATTATGCTATCACAAGCTGAAAGAGCATATTGAAATTAGGTAACCTGTAAATTTTCAGCCTTATATCTCAAAAGTAGCGATTGCAACGGACACCAAAAATTAGAAGGATTTGTATGGGAAAAACAACTATTGCCACCCAGTCCCGCTTAAATGGTTTTCCAAACAAATCCTTGTAAAATTCGAAATTTTCAAGTAATATGTCAAGCATGAGATCAATGTTTCATCTCGAGATTAACGTGGCTCGACTGGATTTTTTAGGGGTATACCTTTGAACATTAGCTACCTCCGCATGAGTAAAGATATAGGAAAAAACTGTATTATATTAAGATGAAAATTTCTTATGATCTGGATTTTATTGCAATCGGAGTTAATGCTCAAACTTGGGAGCTATCCCCCCTAAAAAATCCAGTCGAACCACCAAAAAAACCAAGAAGAGAGTTGAAAATACGACGCGCAGCGGAGTATTTTTGACGAACTTGGAGGTGTTTCTTCTCGTGATGAAACACTGTGTCGAATGCTTCATATTATACATCTCAAAGAAAATGATTATAGTAGGAGAAATTAAGGACGCAAAAATGAGCAGTTTTTCATCTGATTTCCGAACGCTCATTAAACATTAACCTCCTTTGTATTTTCTTTATGAATTATGAATGAGTTTGATAAACTGTCGTGAAATATTTCCTTAAGCATTACGGGGCTCAAATCTCCATTTTATTCATGACAGGCAATTTGAGCCCTTAAAATGCGTTAGGGAAAGACTTAACGCGAGTTTAAAAATTTTAAAATTTACAAGGATTTGTATGGAAAATCACTCAAGCGTGACTGGGTGGTAAGATTTGTTTTTCTCATACAAATCCTTCTAATTTTCGGCGGCCCTTACAATCGCTTCTTTTGAGATACACGGCTGAAAATGTACAGGTTATCAAATTTTACTACGCTCTTTCAGTTCCTGCTAACAAATTTTTCCACAAGCGAACTACTTTCGTGTTTACAAAAAAGTTGATCAAGTGAAGAACTATTGCAAAAGGCCTATTTCAGATGCGTCACGTCAAATTAGGCAAACATGCATAACTGGAAAAACCAGTCTCGTTGGTAAAAATTAGTCACGTAAACCTGTTTTTATAGTTTCCCATATCTTTCTTTTAGTTTTATGGAAATTGGTTTCAGTTAATCCCAAGGGATTAAAAAAGCTCTACCATCATTGGACAGCACTTCTTTAATCCAATGAATGCGGACTTAAGGGAAATACACACGCCTCGAATCCTGGAAATAAATAGGGGATGCCCCTGACATCCCCTAAAACATCATTAGACCACAGTGTTGTGTACGCCGTACTCGTATAAATGGTTTCTTTTTTATGCGTCTTATATAAGCCGTGGCTTATTTTCTTTGGTATGAAGGGCCCTATTAAGTTCCTGGGGTGTCGGATTTCTTTATAGCAAGTCTAGATCAGGCAAAATTCGTCTTTTACTGATTTCAAAGTTTTTTGTTCACCGTTGTATTTCTCAGAAGAATGCGATCGTACGCGTCTTAAATTACTTTTTTGCCGGCTAAAGTACCCTGACAAACTCATTAACTCTACTATCTCACGCTTTATTGCCACAAAAGTTTCTGATCAACCTGTTTCATCACACGCGGCTGTTTCTGATTCATCTGAGCATATTATTGTTATTTTACCATTTAAAGACCAGTCCTCAGTTGACATTGTTCGATATCAATTTCAGGATTTGAGTCACAAAATTCACACAACCGTGTCTCTAGTGTTTCTCCGCCAAAAGATGGAACGCGATCTTAAAATGCGAGAAGCTAAGCCACCTCTTCTCAACCAGCAATGTCTTGTTTACAAATTTGAATGTGACCTGTGCGATGCAGGTTATGTTGGTTACACATCTCGCCACTTACACCAGCGAACTGAGGAACAAAAAAGCGCAAGTTCATCCATCGGCCAGCACTTTCATGTTAAACATTCTTCAGCACCTAAAGATCTTAATAATAATTTTATCATTTTAAAGAAGTGTAAAAGCAAATTTGACTGCCTGAAGTTTGAAATGTTTTTTTATGAACTGAGACCTAGTCTCAATGTACAATCAGACTCACTTCGTGCAAAAGTTTTTAAATAGCTCTTTTAATTAGATTCTATTGTTGTTGTTGTTTTGTATGCTCTATTTCATTCTTTTATCATTTTAAAACTTTTTTTAATAGTTCGTAACATATTTTTACACCTTACACATAAATGCAAATTCTTTTAAATTACTTTTTACTTACTTGAAAATGACCGAAGATCGGTCGAACTTCACTGTGTTAAGTTTTAGAAAACCCTTACTTATAAGAGCTGTAATGGTAATATGATAATCGATTTTTCTTAAAACTACATTTTGACAAACTTTTGTCCAAAGTCAGTTAGTGTCGATAATTTCATTGACTGCGAGCAGTCTCTCTTTTGCTCGAAAATCTCCGAGATATTAGTTCTCCTTTTTGCTTCTCTCTCGCGCAGTCTCTCGTTTTGCTCTTACTGACGCCCGCACAACTCACTCCTCGAGGCTTCGCCGCTCAAATGCTCACATATCGCAACCTTTCACAGATTTCATAAAAAAAGAGAGATTGCTCGCACTGTAATAGTTTCATGGCGAAAAAGAAAAATGGAAAACGTCGCTTTTAAGGCCGCCATTGAGTAATAACGGTACGGTCCCCGAAAAAATTTAACAAAACTACTTATAACAAATTGGACCATATGACTAGAGACGATCGAAACAGAAATCTAGTTAATGCAGAGGTTCATAGTTGGCGCTTCTCCTGCATTGATTAGAAGACGGAAAGAAATTAATTCTAGTTTCCCCCCTCGGCGTTAGCTTTCTTTCCAACGTATCCACGTCTATTTTTTGACATACATCCTTTCCTGGAACGTTTTCTCTCCAAAATGCCGTATTTTTGGTAATGGAGTATTTTCGTCTGCCCCTAGTTAATTCAAAGGTACAGCAGGAAGCAGTCCACATCTCTGAAGGAACGTTTACACGAAAACTCGAATCATCCTGGTAGTTACTGAATCCACCCCTGCCAAAGAATCTCGTTTCTGAGGGACCATTAAATGTCGATGGAATCGCTCCGACAACGATGAACATCCGAACGTTTTGTACCACATCTGCTGTTCCTTCCCTCAAGCAATTAACTTGACCCCACCGAATGAGGTAACCTTCACACGTTTTCCATGAGCCTGAATTAAAAACCCCAAACTGAGGAACGGCATTAGTGTAAACGAAAGTCTGTTTCTTTTTTTCTTGATCCCCTATTCCGTACCGGGACGCTATCAAGTGTCCCCTGTGCATTACAACTTTAACCTTATNTTAAAAACCCCAAACTGAGGAACGGCATTAGTGTAAACGAAAGTCTGTTTCTTTTTTTCTTGATCCCCTATTCCGTACCGGGACGCTATCAAGTGTCCCCTGTGCATTACAACTTTAACCTTATCACCTGAAGACGGCGTCGGGTTCAATTTTTTGTACCAAGTTTTATCTCTTAACTTTCTCACTCGTGGTACTCGTATCTGATAGTAGATTTCGCGTTTAGAGGCCTCCCAGTAGTCATCTGTGTTCTGCTGAAAATGTCCATTCAGCGTCGTTCCGCTTTCTCGAAATGTAGCATCCACTCCTGTTGGGCGAGGGCCGTCCGCTGCCGATAGTTGGCTTCCGTTAACTACTGTGAATGCGTAAAGTGGTATTCGATTGTTACAGTCATAAAGAATTGCCACCGTATTACTTTCGCATAAAAACCTAAAATCTTTTCCAGAGAAAACGCTTTTGGCATGTGCGTACCGTTCTAGACCGTTTGGCGAATGGTTCAATATGTTTAGGCCAGACACTCGATTCCCACGAACATTGCAAGCGCCGAGGAAGTTACATTCACATCCCAATAAACCTGCAGCACCTACAGTGCTACAGCGGGGCTGCCCCGTTGTCCCAAACCACATACAACTAGCTAATGCTAATACAATCACAGCAAAACCGGCCATGGCTACACAAAACTAAATAAGCAGGTTCAGAATATCGAATTTATTGTCTAAGCAGTACTAAAAACTGTGCTTGCCCTGACAAGTTCTGATTGGGTACTCAAAAAAGCCGAAAAATAGTTTGAACAATACTTGGCGACAAACGAAGTAAGAACAAAACAAAAGATAATAGGATTGCCTTATTCCCACTTCCTTTTTTTCCCGCTGAACATAGGCGGAAATTGTGAAAACTGAAAGTCTCTAAATGCAAGGAGACTTATACCCTACACAATGTGGAATAACTCTCGAGTACGCCCCACATGGGAGTGCAGAAATATGACAACAAAATCCACTTCGTTTTAACGGTCTCAATGTTTTTTTTTGTGTGTGTATGCGTGTATGTGTTTACACCACAGCAACTCTGAGTCTCCACAGTCAGGGATTTAAATTCTTGAGACGTGACTGGCATTATCACAAGTAAAAACACGAAACCCGAGTTATTATGTTCACTAACAAATTGAACGGACTCCAAAATCGATCTCCGGTTTCTGGTCTCCCTCTTCTTCCTAACCGCTAAAAATAAAAATGAAAAACTTCCCAGAAATATTCACTTTTGTCCACATTGACCACATTATTTGAGCCTTGTTCGCAGGGCGTTATACTGCCCCATTAAGAGCAGATTATTTGTCGCTTAAGCCATCTTCGAGGTAGACAGACGCAAATCAGACAAAATATATGAAAACCCCACTTAAAAGTGCAGAAAAATATCACACAAGAAAAAGACCCATGCTGTAGATTTTAGACAACTTGCCAACAAACTGACACAAGTAACAATAGCGCGCTTGTTATTCAATCTTAACTAGTAAAGCGAAACCACAAAAAAATGCAGTAAATGGTGACGTAGATATTCATTCATAGTCTAAGCAGCTTTTGTTTTTCTTTCTTTCTTTCTGTCTTTTTTTCCTGTTTTTTTCAGTGCGATTCTATCAATCAGAATCCTAGGTTCCTAGGTTCCATATTTTGAATTCAACGTCACTTCGTCTTCATGTGCGACATTCGTCACGTTGATACTTTCGATGACTATGTCAATTGCACATCACTTTTGTAAAGATAGCTAAGATAGTAACTGAAAAAATAAATAAACAAATAAGTACAATACTTTTTTACTTAGTCAATATGTGTCTACTGTTCCAAATTTTGCTCCACGACCGTGCAGTTGCAAAAACGCCCATATAAGCGAATCTGGATTTAGAATTCGGAATTTTGGAATCCGGAATACAAGTCAAGGAATGTAGAATTCAACTGACGATTGAAATCCGGAATCCAGTTTCCACTGACAAAGTATCCAGAATTCAGCATCCGAAATTCAGAAGGGTGGAATCCAGACTCCTAGACTGTCTTGGATTCCTTTACATGGGGCGAATGATTTGTTGTGGCTTAGAGATAATCATTTACATGTTTTGCCTCTGCGAAATTTCCTCGTTTAATTAAACCAGTAGCGGAAGCCGAAAAATGGAGCATATTTCCTTGCAAAGCTGTATCGTCCTCTGCTAGTTTTCAAGAAATCACTCGCACCCCTTCCCAGCAGCGTGAATGCACTTTTGCTAACCCAATGGTTTAAGTCAACAGTAAAAAAACAAACAAACAAACAAAACAAAAAAAGGGCCACCCATTCCACTGAAGTTAAGCATTGATTCATTACCTGGCTAAGAAAACATTTATAAGTTCATTAGTAGATTAACTTCGCCTTTTTAGAACTACCATAAAAATTCAAAACACAGTAGCTGGTAATAATAGCACTTGTCTATTAATAATGGTATCAGTAAATCGCAAACATTTTTAATTTCACATTTTTCTAAGAAACAATGAGGCGGATTTGGCTTAACAGTACGTTCCAAAACAGATGACACTATTGGTTATCAATGAAGTGAAAATATGATTAAAGGAAGGACTAAATTGGGTTATGACGGAATCCATCAGGAAATTGAGTAATTTTTACTTTCAGTGGACAAAAACCTTGCACCAGAATATTTTAAGCCATATCGCATTTTACACTTTTCAAGGGCTATAGATGTATCTAGTTGTAGCTTTTGCTAAGTGCCAACGAAAGAAAAAGAATTTGCCTATATCACCGGTTTTAGCGCCAGTGTTTATACAAACATTTCAGCTGCTGAGGCGAGAATTTCCACTACAAGCACTCCTCGTTCCTACATTTCTGCCATGCTCTTGGCCTTAAAATCGCTCTTATTCTTCTGCTTAGACATTTTTGAACCTTAAATTTGTCGAGTTTCAATCAGCGAAAGGGAAATAACATAGGTTAGCGCGAACTTCAAATAGCGAGTTGTTGTTCGTACAAGTACAGTAGTGTGGCAGAGAACAACGTCCGAACTTGTTTACAACAAACGGGTAATCAAAAGTCACGTGAAACTACACGTTAAATCTAACGCTACTAGAATCCCCAGGGAATCTACACCTTGCATTACACTTACATTACACTTTTCACAGCGCGATCGAGAATTTTTCTGCCTGCTGTAATGCTTCGCGAGGCATTAAGCTGGCTCCCTCGCAAGCCGACCGTCTTCGCTCGGCTTGCTCGTTGGAAATTAGTTGTCTGTAATAACACCAAAGACAATTTCTTACGGGAGCCCTTTCAAAATGCACAGGAATTGAGAAAACACATGTAAAATCGTCAGTATAGTATGGTGTCTCTGCAGTTAATCCAAGTTATTTCTGAAATATTTATTAATATGACTACTTTCTTTTCGTTTACGTTTTGTAAACTGCATGGATGAAGATAAACAACATTTTAGATCTTATAGATAATACTGCTTACCATGGCAAGGGCTAAAATG